TCCTTACTAGCACTCATGATGTTACTTAGTTGGGTCATGAAACGTCTGCAAGAAAACCACGAAATTCAGAGAGCACCCAGGACCCCTCAGTCCTCCTCCTCCTCCTCCTCCCTCCCTCCCTCCCTCTTTCTCAGTGTGTGTCTGTCCTTCTTTGACTGCTGCTCCTGCTGGGCCACATTTGGGCCGCCAGATGCAGAAGGAGGCGGCAGGGAGGCCCCCAGTAGGCAGAGGCTGCAGGTGGCACTGGTGGGCCTGCCATCCGGACTTGCTGGTGGCTCCGTTCTTTCCCTGCCAGGATGGCAGAGGCCAACCCTGCCAGATTTTCCTCTTTTGCACCCAGACCTCCCTCCCTCCCTCCCTCCAGCCCCTCCCCACCCAGTCAGGAGGCAAATTCCTCCAGCCATGTCCCACGTGTGGAAGAGACACGGAGAAGCAGCTAGGAAAAGTCACCACGGATCTTCCAGCTGGGAGGAGGATTTTCTTAGCATAGTACTAAAATGGAGTCCAAAAGTGCAGGCGCACACACCGGTTACTTTTTAAACGTTTGAATTGTGGGTCTTAATTAGCAAACAATTGCAATTAGGAAGGCAGCTGGGGACCCCCTTTCTGCAACCCGCTGTCTGCCTCAGAGATGGTCCTGGGTGCAAATGCCGGCGTCTTGAGGTGCTGTGTGGGAATCTTGGGCATCCGGCACCTTCTCGCCCTTCTTGTGGCCTCTCAGATCGTGAGGTCTAGCCCCTTGGAGAGTGAAGTGCCTTGGACAGCCCTGAGGGTGTGTGTGTGTGTGTGGAGGGGGGGGGGGGCTGATGCTGTGGCTGTTTCCTCCCCCTACAGAGGCTGGCATCAGGGGAAGGAAGCGCTGAAGTGTAAGAAGCTGGCAGTGGGAGAGCCCGGGGTCCAACGCCCAGGGCGGCCTGGGAGGGGGGCACTGGGGGGTTCCACGGGGGCACCCCTGCCTCGAACCTCTCCCCCGGGACGGGACAGCTCTCCGTGTTCCGGAGCTTAAATGGGCCAGCCTGGCGATTTAAGTCGGAGTTAAGTCGAGGGAACCCGCGAGAGGGTCCCCTCCTGCCGCCCCCCACGCTTGCCGGTGGGGTCCCCCCCGTTTCTGGCAGCGGAGCCCCGTCCCTCTCGGAGCGCGGCGCTTGAGCGGCGCGTTTTTGGAGGATCGCGCGCTGCCTGCAGCTGGGAAGCCGTGGAGCGCAGGGGGGGCTCGCTAGGGGGCGTCAGCCGCCGCTCGGCCGCGGGATTCCTTTCGGGGAAGCCCGGGCGGAGAGACGGGGAGGGCCGCCGGCCTTGCGGGGAGCTTGGTGGCCCTCCTGGGTCGCCCCTTCCAGGAGGCTTCGGAGCCCAGCAGCCCGCCTGCCCGCCGCTCGGCTCCGTCCCGACCCGACCCAGCCGGGCGTCTGCCTGAGAACGAGAGGGCGGCCCGTCCCGTCCAACCCAGTCCGGGCTTCGCAGCTGCCGGTCCGCCGTCCCGGGCCAGAGGCGGTCCGGGCAGCCTCGGCTGGGCCTCCGCGCCGCAGCCGAAGCGCCTGAGCTGGGGGCTCTCTCCTCGGGGCGACCCTTTCTGCCCCCCCAGCCCCTTCGCCCCGGAGCTTGGCTCCCGAGGAAGCCGGGCGACCCTTGGCGGACCCTCCCTCCGTCCCTCCCCACCTCTGTGCTGAGCGTGGCGGCTGATGTTCCCGAGGAGCAGACCTCAGGCCTCGCCCCTCGGACCCCCGGCCTGCAGGCGACGGGACAGCAGCCCTCTGTGCATGGGCAGAGGCTGCCTCCCCTCCCCTCCCCTCCCCTCCAAGGTTGTAAGTCGAACTCTGTTCTGGAGCAGGGGAACGGTGGCCGGGCCCAGATCGGTCAGCCCACCGTCCTAAGGACCCCCACCCCTCCTCCGCGATCTTGGCAGCTTGGCTCCTGCCGCTTTTCTGCAGAGGCGAAGACCCGAGGGGGGGGGGCGCCCGCTCTGCTCCGTCGGACCTGCCCCTCCTCTGGCTCGCTTGTTCGAAGGCGGCCTGGGCAGCCGTGCCCCCGACCCCCCCGACACCCCCGAGCCTGGCTCTGGGGCTCGGCCGTCTTGCGAAGCAGCCCTTGTTAGTGCCGGGGCCATTCGAACCGGGGGGGGGGCCTCTTATTTGACTCAACAGAACTTGAAAGGCAGGGCGGCGTCCAGGAAACTAGCAGTTTGCACACAGGTTCCCACCCCCCCCCGGTCTCCTCTCCTCCCCCCCCGTCTGTGTAATTCCCACATTTACAGCTTGGAAGGTTCCCCTCGGGAGCCCCTGCTCGCTGGTGGGTGGGTGGGTCGGTCTGCCTTCCCCGCAGGAGCGCAGGGCTCCCTTCCTATATTCAGACCCCCCCCCCACCCCGAGCCCTCCTCCCTTCCCCGACGGGAGCCGGATGCCGGCAAAGTCGGCGCGCCCCGCCTGACCTCCACCTTGGCGCGTGCTCCCCGCTGCTGGAGCCGGAGGGGAGAGGCCGGGGAGAGGCGGGGGAGGGGGCTCCGGCCCGGCTCTGCACGTGGAAGTTCATCAAAAGTAAGCAAAGGCTCTTTTTTTTTCCGCCCGGCCCCTCGGAGGAGGAGGAGGAGAGGGAGGCCGGCAGGGCAGGCCGTCAGCCCAGAGGCTCGCCTTGGCAGGCGGCAGCCCCCCCAGCCCGCCCGGCTGCTCGGAGGTGCTACTTAGTTGGACGGGGCGCCCCTCCCTGCGAACCAGGATCCTCCTCTCCCCCCCCCCCCCGACCGTTTGCGGTGGCAGGGGCTGTGCACGCGGGAGGCCAGATGTTGCCTGGGCCCTCGCAGGGGATGGAGGCCCAGGCGGTGCGCAAGCTGGTCCTCCCCAGAGACAGCTGGTGGCCCTAAGCAGCCCTCGCCCGCCCTGGTCGATCCAGGGATGGCATGCAAGGGACGGCACTGGCCCTGGGGACCAGTTGGGTGCCCTGATCTAGAACCTGCTACATAAGCTTTGTCAGGGTCCTTGGTGCTCGCTGAGCTTGGTGGTTTCCTTGCAGACGACCATTCTGATGCTGTTACCCAGTTGGGTCATGCAAGGTCTGCAAGAAAACAGCCAAATTCAGAGAGCACCAAGGATTCCACAGTCCTTTTTCCCCTCCTCCTCCTCCTCCTCCTCCTCCCTCCTCCTCCTCCTCCCCCTCTTCTTCCCCCCCTGCTAATCCTCCTCAAATCCCATTCCCTTGGAGCACTGATGCTGTTACCTGGTTGGGTCATGAAACGTCTGCAAGAAAAGAGCCAAATTCAGAGAGCACCAAGGATTCCACAGTCCTTTTTTTCCTCCTCCTCCTCCAATCCCATTCCTTTGGAGCACTGATGCTGTTACCCGGTTGGGTCATGAAACGTCTGCAAGAAAACAGCCAAATTCAGAGAGCACCAAGGATTCCACAGTCCGTTTCTTCTTCCTCCTCCTCCTCCCCTCCTCTTCTGATACATGTGACCATAGAAAGAATAACAGAACAGAATAACAGAGTTGGAAGGGACCCTGGAGGTCCTCCATGCCAACCTTCCCAAGCAGGAGACCCTCCACCATTTCAGACAAAAGGTTGTCCAATTTCTTCTTAAAAGCCTCCAAAACTTCTGGAGGCAAGTTGTTCCACTGGCTAATTTTTCTCACCTTGCTTTCCCCCTCTGGGCCTTGATGGGCTGGGGTGATCCTGTAGGAGTTGGGGGCCATCAAACAGCTTCTCCACGATGAGCAGGAAACCTCTTCCTCCTTAAACCCAATCCCCCCTCTCTCTCCTGTCTGCATTTCAGGTGTTCTCAAAAATATTCAACCACGAAGCTCTGGAAAGTTACCTGCCCAAAATTCAGCTGGTGATCCAAGACACCCTGAGAGTCTGGGGCAGGAACCCTGAGCCCATCAACGTCTACCACGAAGCCCAGAAGCTCACGTTCCACATGGCCATTCGGGTCCTTCTGGGATTCCAGATCCCAGATGAGGACCTCAGCCAGATGTTTGAAGTCTACCAGCAATTTGTGGAGAATGTCTTCTCCTTACCTGTGGACCTGCCCTTCAGTGGCTACCGTAAGGTAAGTCACGGCTGCATCAGGGAGGGGCAGAAACCTAGATGCTGTGCCTGGGTGGTGGACCATCTCATGGTGTTGTCAAAAAGAAGGGAGGGCAGGGCGAGTCTCTCCCTGCCCCAAAAACCCACAGGACAGGGGGCACACGCCTGGTGGAAGGTAGCATCCTTGAAGCATCTTCTGATGGATCCAAGTTGGAGGAAATTGGGTGGGGTATTTTGGTTCTTGTAGTTTAGATCAGAGGTCCTCAACCTTGGCAACTTGAAGACTTGTGGACTTGTGGAGCTTGGCTGGCTGAGGAATTCTGGGAGTTGAAGTCCACAAGTCTTCAAGTTGGCCAAGGTTGGAGACCCCTGGTTTAGATGCTTTAGGGCAGGGGGTGCCCAACCTTGGTGGCTTTAAGACTTATGGACTTCAACTCCCAGAATTCTGGGAGTCCAAGTCCACAAGTCTTCAAACTGCCAAGGTTGAACACATGTTGGGTGGGGAATTCCGGGAGCTGAAGTCTTAAAAGTGGCCAAGATTGGACACACACACAAACACCCACCCACACCCGTTTGAGAAGGTTCAAACATATGACCTATTTCTAGCTCTTTCCCCACCGGATGTGGCTGGGGATTCTGGGACACCCAGTCTCAACCTAACTGGAGGGCAGGGGGGGCAGGAGGAGACGGGGACTGCCTGGGGACTGACGTGGTCCTGGACGTCCTTTTCGCAGGGGATTCGTGCCAGGGAGATTTTGCAGAAAGGCTTAGAAAAAGCCATCCGGGAAAAGCTGCAGAATTCCCAAGGGAAGGACTACCTGGACGCCCTGGACCTGCTGATAGAGAGCGGAAAAGAACACGGGAAGGAGCTCACCATGCAGGAGCTGAAGGTAGGAGCCCCTGACCCAGACAGGTAGCAGGCGCCACTTCCGTCTGTGGCCACCGGGGGTGCTAGACTCCCCCTTTCCGCTCAAGGTTGTGTCTGGCTGCATCTCAGCCAATCAGAATAGAGCTGGTAGGGGCCTTGGAGGTCTTCTAGTCCAGCCCCCTGCTCAAGCAGGAGACCCTATAGAATTTCAGACAGGCGGCTGTCTTAAAAACCTCCAGTGATGGAGCACCCACAACTTCTGGTGGCAAGCCGTTCCACCGATTAATGGTCCTCACTGTTAGGAAGGTTCTCCTTAATTCCAGCTTGCTTTTCTCCTGGATTAGTTTCCAACCCTCGTTTCTTGTCCTGCCTTCTGACGCTTTGGAGAACAGGTTGGACCCCCTCCTCTTCTTTGGGGCAGCCCCTCAAATACTGGAATGATGGAGGGTGGGGAAACGAAAGAGCAGGGGCCTTCAAAGTTGGCCCTTTGATGACTTGTGGACTTCAACTCCCAGAATTCTGGGAGTTGAAGTCCACAAGTCATCAAAGGGCCAACTTTGAAGGCCCCTGATTAGACTTTAAGAGGAGTGGACTTCAACTCCCAGAATTCCTCAGTCAGCATGCCTGGCTGAGAAATTCTGGAAGTTGAAATCCACAAATCATCAAAGGGCCAAGTTTGAAGACCCCTGGACTTCAACTCCCAGAATTCCTCAGCCTGGCACGCTGGCTGAGGAATTCTGGGAGTTGAAGTCCACAAGTCATCAAAGTCATCAAAAGTCATCAAAGTCATCAAAAAATATTTATTTAATTTGATTTTAGAATAGATATTTATTGTGATTTTTATTATCGCCTGTTCACCGCCCTGAGTCCCGTAAGGGAGATAGGGCGGTATACAAATCTAAATAAACATAAACATAAACAAAGGGCCAACTTGGAAGACCCCTGATATAGACTTTAAGAGGAGTGGACTTCAACTCCCAGAATTCCTCAGCCAGCGTGCCTGGCTGAGGAATTCTGGGAGTTGAAGTCCACAAGTCATCAAAGGGCCAGGTTTGAAGACTCCTGATATAGACTTTAAGAGGAGTGGACTTCAACTCCCAGAATTCCTCAGCCAGCGTGCCTGCCTGAAGAATTCTGGGAGTTGAAGTCCACAAGTCATGAAAGGGCCAAGTTGGAAGACCCCTGCAACAGAGGGTGGGAGGATTGTCGGGCGCAAATAATCCCAGCTAAAATGAAGCTGTAAACATCTCAGTGTAACCTCCGTAGGATCACGGAGGGAAGCTCAGACCAGCGTAGCTTCAGCGGCCAGGCCCACTTAAGTTGCAAGAAAGATGGCCGGTGGCATCTCGTGAACGTTGCCCTTTGGAAGCTCAGCTGGTCAGCCCCGGCTGACGCAGCCTCTCTTTGCCCTTAGGATGGCACCCTGGAGCTGATCTTCGCCGCCTATGCCACCACAGCCAGCGCCAGCACCTCTCTGATCATGCAGCTGCTGAAGCATCCGGTGGTGCTGGAGAAGCTTCGCGAAGAGCTGAGGAACACGGGCCTCCTGCACAACGGCTGCCTCTGCGAGGGGGCGCTTCAGCTGGAGACCGTCCACAGCCTCCACTACCTGGACTGCGTCATCAAGGAGGTCCTCCGGCTTTTCACCCCCATTTCGGGGGGATACCGGACGGTGCTGCAGACCTTCGAGCTGGATGTGAGTAAGGGGACCTTTTGCCCGAAGCCCCCTCCCTTGGGGGAAGACGCTCCTAGGCTAGGGTTTCTCCACCGTGGCCGCTCCAACAGGGGTGTACTCCAACTCCCAGAATTCCTCAGCCGGCAAAGAATTCTGGGAGTTGAAGTCCATCCCTCTTAAAGCGGCGAAGGTTGAGAAACGCTGTTCTAGGTCTACATCAACTGGGGGGAAAGTCTCCAGTAGGGAAGGGGGGGCAGCCCACGATCCCCCTAAAGCCCCTTGAAATTGCATAATAATAATAATAATAATAATAATAATAATAATAATAATAATAATAATAATAATAATAATAATAATAATAATAATAATAATAATAATAATAATAGTAATAGTAGTAATAATAATAATAATAATAGTAGTAGTAGTAGTAGTAATAATAATAATAATAATAATAATAATAATAATAATAAAGTTGGATGGGACCTTGGAGGTCATCTAGTCCAACCCCCTGCTCAGGCAGGAAACCCTATACCATTTCAGACAAATGGCTGTCCAGTCTCTTCTTAAAAACCTCCAGCGTTGGAGCATTCACCACTTCTGGAGGCAAGGAGTTCCACTGGTTAATTGTTCTCACTGTCAGGAAATTTCTGCTTAATTCTAGGTTGCTTCTCTCCTTGGTCAGTTTCCATCCGTTGCTTCTTGTCCTGCCTTCAGGCACTTTGGAGAATGGCTTGACTCCCTCTTCTTTGGGGCAGCCCCTGAGATACTGGAAGACTGCTATCATGTCCCCCCTCGTCCTTCTCTTCATTAAACCAGACAGACCCAATTCCAGCAGCCGTTCCTTATATGTTTTAGCCTCCAGTCCCCTGATCATCTTTGTTGCTCTTCTCTGCACTCTTTCTGGAGTCTCAGCATCTTTTTTACATCGTGGTGACCAAAACTGGATGCCGTATTCCAAGTGTGGCCTTACCAAGGCCTTGTAAAGTGGTATTAACCCTTCACCTGATCTTGATTCTATCCCTCTGTTTCAGTATTGCTGAAACTGGGTGCGAAAGGACCAATACTCTGGGGAAAAAGATTTCTTTCCGAGAAATAATAGGAGCAGGGGGTCTCTGGCAGCCAACAATTTTGGCCCATTTGTGAGGGTCTTGGAGAGTTTGGCGTTTGGAGAGACGGGCGTGATTTGTCTTCTAAAGGGCTCCCTCTTTTGGCCCACCGCCCACCCAAAGCTTTGGCAACTCTAGAAGCCAGCAGAAGGTCTGAAGGCCAAACTATTGAACCTGTCCCCCCCCCACAAAAGTGGCGGTGTGGGTTACAACACCTGTGTCAGGTGCAAGACGTCAGGAACCAGGATAGGGATCAAAAGCACTGCGGGTTTATTTCATGCTGCGTAGACACGAGAATCTGAAGTGCTAACGGTCAAGGCGAATTGGTGCCAAATAAGACGCAACGGACTTCAAGGGGGGCTGGACAGGTCACTTATGGGGGCGCAGAGACTCCAGACTGATGGTGTGTTTGACCCCCCACACTCAGCCTGGTCATCTCCTACAGCAGGGCTCTCCAAACTTGGCGGCTTTAAGACTTGTGGACTACAACTCCCAGAATTCCTCAGCCAGCCAAGCTGGCTGAGGAATTCTGGGAGTTGAAGTCCACAAGTCTTAAAGTGGCCAAGGTTGAGGTCCTGGCTGAGGAATTCTGGGAGTTGAAGTCCACAAGTCTTAAAGTGGCCAAGGTGGAGGTGCTGGCTGAGGAATTCTGGGAGTTGAAGTCCACAAGTCTTAAAGTTATGAAGGTTAAAGACCCCTACTCTATATAACAATGAAAATGATCCACTGAACGGAAGCGGAGATGAATTGCTCGAAAATGATCTTTTAAACACCATCTGTAAACATACAGGACACCGATGTTCTTACGAGTTCCCTTTGTTGTGGGAAGAGCCCTTTTTATTTTGGGCCCAAGGGCGGCGGTCTCTCCTCTTGAAGACCCTCCCCAAAGACAAACCTTGGAGGTGGGCTTAGGGGGTGGGCTCTTCTGAAAGGCTGAGTTCTCGGAGGCATCGCATCTGGAGGCTGCAGGTGCACCGTTGTGGAAGCCAACGCTCCAGATTTGGAGAAGAGAAAGGAGGGTGAGAGCCAGATGTTGGGATGACATCTGGATGACTCACGATGGAATTTCCAAGGAGCAGAACAAATTTCACGGCTTGGCTGTTCCAGTCTGCAGAGCTCCTCCAGGATCGAGGGCTGGCTTGGTTCCCTTCTGAATGGGGCCAGCAGATGGGAGATAGAGAGGGGTGGATGCCTTCTTCTTGACAAGGCAGAACACCTTGTACATATACAGTGAGCAAAACCACTCCCTTCCAGCACTGATGTTGTTATCTAGTTGGGTAATGAAATGTCTGCAAGAAAACAACTAAGTTCAGAGAGGATGAAGGAACCCACCGTCTTTTCTTCCTCCTCCTCCTCCTCCTCCTCCTCCTCCTCCACCACCACCACCACCACCACCACCACAAACCCTCCTCCCTTCTAGCACCAATGATGTTATCTAGTTGGGTAATGAAACGTCTGCAAGAAGACAACTAAGTCCAGAGAGGACCAAGTCCTCCTCCTCCTCCTCAAACTTGACTCCTTTCTAGCACTGATGAGGTTACCTAGTTGGGTCATGAAACGTCTGAAAGAACACCAAGCTCAGAGAGCACCAAGGACCCCACAATCCTCCTCCTCCTCGACCTCCTCCTCTACCTTCTCCTCTCCCTTGATGATGTTACCTAGTTGGGTCATGAAACGTCTGATGGTATGTGCGAGTGGGATATCTCGATTTTTCTAGCACTTGGGTTCACACCAAAGAGACTTACAGTAGAATACCTCTGGTGCCTCTTGAGGGTCTCTTCGTCTCTCTGTGTCCCTCTGACAATCTGTCTCCTTTGTCTCCAGGGCTTCCAAATCCCCAAAGGATGGAGCATCATGTACAGCATCCGAGACACGCACGACACGGCTCCCGTCTTCAAAGACGTGGACGCGTTTGACCCCGACCGCTTTGGGCGGGACCGCAGCGAAGACAAAGACGGCCGGTTCCACTACCTGCCCTTCGGCGGAGGGGTACGGACCTGTCTGGGCAAACACCTGGCCAAGCTCTTCCTCAAGGTGCTCGCCATTGAGTTGGCCAGCACGAGCCGTTTTGAACTGGCCACCAGGACTTTCCCCCAGGTGACCCTGGTGCCCGTGGTCCACCCGGTCGACGGACTGAAGGTCAAATTTTTTGGACTCGACTCAAATCAGAACGAAATCTTGACAGAGAGAGAGGCCATGTTGGGGGCCACCGTGTAGGCCCAAGGCTTCTCTGGGCTGGCCAGGTTGAAGAGACCCGAACGGAGGGTGGAGAGAGGACGGCTCAACCCACCCCGGATGACGGAGAAGGGCCAACCTTGGTGGACACATCCGGCAAAGCCTTCTCCAGGGAATATGCCAAAAACTGCGGGGGTGTTTTACTGGTGTGTGTGTCTGTGTGTGTGTGTGTGAGCAGCCCGTTTCTCCTAGATGGCTTCTGTATGGTTTTGTTTGGACACCCGCGAGACATGAGTTGTGTTGACCGTACTCAGCGTATGTATGTGTGTATATACCAGTGGTTCTCAACCTTTTTAATGCTGCGACCCCAACCGGTCGTAAGTCGAGGACTAAACCGGTCGTAAGTCGAAGACTAAACCGGTCGTAAGTCGAGGACTACCCAACCGGTCATAAGTCGAGGACTTTCCCTTCATGGGAGCATCGCGCATGCGTGGTTCCGCCCCCTGCGCCGGCCGAGGCGTAGCTGGCAAGCGGCAGAGACGGAGCAGGCCGACCACCAGCTGGCCCAGCCCAAGGGAGGTAAGGCACCCGCCGGAAAAGGGGAAAAAAATGGTGGATAAAAAAAATGGCGGACAAAAAAAATGGCGGACAGCCTTGCTTGGCGACCCCCGTGAAATGGTCGATCGACCCCAAATGGGGTCCCGACCCACAGGTTGAGAACCACTGGTATATACACTTACTTTCCAGAGTGAATCCGGCAAGGTCATCCCACACTACTCGGGAACTCTTTCTGTCTTTGCTGTCCCAAGTGGCCACGGGGGCTTGGGGTGGGAGGACCCCTCCCCCCTGCAGCCAGGATAGGGATAACAACCCCCCCAGGAGGAAGATGGCCCACTTTTTGGGCAGGGCAAAAGAGGCAGCCAGGGGTCACCGGGCGAAGCTTTGAGATGGGCCCTGGAATCTGCCCAGGCGCCGTAGTTTCTCGTCCTTCTGAAGCCGCCCAAAGGCGAGTTTTTCTCTAGCCTGGTTAGAAAAAGGAAGGCTGGAGAATTAGGCTGTGGGTCCCGAGCTTCCCAGCCTGAGAAAGCTCTTGGGGGGGGGGGGTCTTCTCGGTGGCCCCCAGTTCCAGAGCCAGCCCCATCTTCCGGAGGAGACCATGCCTGGACTATGATCAGAGAAGCTCATTTGAGGCCGTCAGTTGCTGCTTTCTTGCTTTCCTTGTGTCCCTGCAAGCCCCCCCTGCCCCCCCCCCCCAGTGCCCTCTGAGCCAGGCCTCTGGCTTCCTTGCCACCTGGGAGCCATCTTGGGGTCTTCTCCATCCCAAGGCCGGAAGCGGTTCCTTTGCCACAGGTGGCTCCAGAAGATACTTGACGAGGGCATTTTATATCTAGCTATCTCTGAGTAAGTCCTTGCCAGTCTCCGAGCTTGGTTGTTTTCTTGCAGACGTTTCACTACCAAACTGGGTAACACCATCAGTGCTGGAAGGGAGCACTCGTGAGCAAACCCCACCCTTTACTAGCACTGATGATGTTTCCTAGTTTGGGTAATGAATGCCAGAAAACAGCCAAGTTCAGAGAGCACCAAGGACCCCACGGTCCTCCTCCTCCTCCTCCTCCTCCTCCCCCTTCTAGCACTGCTGATGTTCCCTAGTTGGGTCATGAAACATCTGCAAGAAAACAACCAAGTTCAGAGAGCACCCAGGACCCCACAGTCGTTGTCGTTGTCGTTGTCGTTGTCGTCGTCATCCTCCTCCTCCTCCTCCTCCTCCTCCTCCTCCTCCTCCTCCTCCTCCTCCTTTCTGCAAACTCCACTCCCTTTCAGCACTGATGATGTTCCCTAGTTGGGTCATGAAACGTCTGCAAGAAAACAACCAAACTCAGAGAGCACCAAGGACCCCACAATCCTCCTCTTCCTCTTCCTCCTCTTCCTCTTCCTCCTCTTCCTCTTCCTCCTCTTCCTCTTCCTCCTCTTCCTCTTCCTCTTCCTCTTCATCTTCTTCCTCCTCCTCCTCCCCCCCCAAATCCCACTCCTCTCTAATACTGATGATGTTGCTTAGTTAGCTCATGAAACGTCTGCAAGAAAACAACCGAGGATTCCTCATTTCAACGCTGAGCTACAAATATTCTCCTTTATCGGTATCTCTATCCATATACATGCGTGCATTTTATTTAGTCCAGGATAATTCCTGTTTGATTGACTGCTCCTAACTAATATAACTTGACTAAAAAAAAAAATCGAAATATTAAAATGTTACTGCAGTGGATTTGCAGAATGAAGCACTTTCGAGACTCAGAATATGTGTTTGTCTTGTGTTTCTTTTGATTTCTGGGCGATATTATTTTATACAACAAAAGTGGTGGGCTTGTTTTGTCTTGAGTTTATAAACTATAAGTATTATTTTTGTTATTAAGTCAGAATCGATATTTCGTATAATAATGTGGCTGTCTTAAATGTGTATTATTTAGTAAAATATGAATGATCCCACTGCTTTGCTTTTTATTTTTTATTTTTTTATGGCGATCTTCTCCGTCACAAAAATTAAGGGGGTTAGCGTGGAGTCACCTGGGAAGCGCTTTTGCGCAATTCCCTACAGCACGAAACCTTGTGCAGGATTGATGCCGTGCCACTTCCCATCAGCTGTGTTGTTCTTGATATTGAAATAAATAAGCACCTGTCGTGTGGGGATATATTTTGGTGCTGTGTGCAAATGTGTGTCTGTCTTGTGTCCTGTGGCTTTTGACGTGTCTGTAATATGGGGGTCAGCCCACCCTGACTGACCCTAACCCTTTCTGGCCTCTCCCTTGACGTGGAAAAGTCTCTGTCCAGGTGCCGTCTGTGGGGTTCTCACGCGGCCCAGGATGCCTTCCGGGCTGGATCTGCTCCTGTGATGGGAGGGGGGGCAAGAAAGTGGTATGTGTTGTGTGATCTTTTTTTAAAAAAAATTAAAATAATCCGTGTGGCTATTTTATAGATTTCCACCACCACCACCACCACCATCATCTTAATAATAATAAAAAATGAATTTAACCCCTTTGTGTCCTTGGTTCTTGGATCTGTACTGCCGCCATGTTGAAGGGGACCCTTGGACTGCAAGGACATCCCATCTGCCCATCCTAAAGGAAGTCCACCCTGACTGACCTTTGGAAGGACAGATGCTGAAGGTGAAGCTCAATTGCTTCGGCCGCCAAATGGGAAGACAGGACTCTTTGGAAAAAAACCCTGGAGTTCGGAAAGGTGGAAGGCCAAAGGGGAAGGGGGCGGTGCAGGAGGAGGAGTGGGCCAGACAGGGCCATTGATGCACCAGACATGAATTTGGGCAAACTCTGGGAGAGAATGGAAGACGTGCTGTGATCCATGGGGTTGCAAAGAGTCAGACACAACTTAGCGATTGGACAACGGCAACAACGGCTGCCAAATCCTATGGGTGGGAACTTTGCCTTCTGATGGGGTTGGGTGGGTGGGTGGGAGGGCTACAGGGGGAGATCCAAACCTGAATGAAAGGAGGAGGGATCTCCTGAGCATTGCCCGAGTTCCTCCAGACAAGGTTGGAGAGCCAGGGGTCTGGGTGGCCTGGGCAGGGGTTGGACTAGAGGACCTCTGGAGCCCCTTCCGGCCCAGTGGTTCTATGTTGCTCAGAGATCTCTAAAATGCATCAAACTGCTGCCTTCCATAGCAAGACTAAAGCAGTTTGTTTTTGACATCCTGCTGTATAACTTTACAAAGATGTTTAGGGGGCTGGAGGCTAAAAATATACGAAGGAGGGTGGCATAGCACAGAAGCGCTGCTTGAGCAGGGTCCGTAAGATTATCTGGGACACCACACACCCTCTCCACGACCTGTTTTCCTTGTTCCCTTCTGGGGGGGAGGAGGGGGCTCCGTGGTATCCGAAGCAGAACATCCAGATTCAGCCAGAGTTTCATTCCGTACAGCATTAACCTTGTGAACTCTCAAGCTTCCTCCTTCCGTTATATTTCAAGATGGACAATATTTAATATTTATTTGCTACGTATATGTAGGGATGTGGGTCTATGCATATGTTGTTCATAGTATGTTTAGGTGTGTGTCATGTATGTGTTTCACTTTGAGAGCGGGCAACTAAATTTCATTTTTGATGTGTGCCGTTGTGCCCACAGTAAAAAAATGACAATAAAGGTTATCTTATATCTTATCTTATCTTATCTTATCTTATCTTATCTTATCTTATCTTATCTTATCTTATCTTACAGTATCTTATGAAAAGAAGGAACAGGGGGTGTTGGGATCACAGTCCCCCAATATCTCAGGGGTTGCCACTCCCTCCAGACACTGTGGGCGCTCCATCTCTGGAGGTTTTTAAAAAGAGACTGAACAACCGTTTGTCTGGACAGGGTCTCCTGCTTCAGCAGGGGGCTGGACTAGAAGACCTCCAAGGTCCCTTCCAACTCTGTTATTCTGATTGATTTCCTTCCTTCCGACTTGCTGAGGTGCAACCAGACACAACTTCTTCTGATTTGTATTCCTCCCCACTCGGAGCAGAACCGAAGGCCCAGGAAGAGCAGAAATAAAGCCCCCCCCTCGGGGTTCCAGCAGGAGGGGTGGGTGTCTTTAGGGCGTCTTTAGGGCGACGCTACCCACTAGGCGCTGCTGCTCTGGTGCTCGGCGGCCCTTTCGCGGGACCCGGTCACTCCGCAGCCCCCAACTCTGGCCCTCCCTCCCTGCCTCTCCCACCCCCGCCCCGCCTGGCTTTCCCAGGGACCGGGGTGGGGGACAAGAGAAGCCCGGCGCCCGCGGGCGTCCCCTCGGAGAGCTGCTGAGAAGGGCCGTGCCCAGAGCCCGGGACCCCGCCGGGGAGACCCGCACCTGCCGGCGCCTCCCCGCAGTTCCTGCCCAGCAGCCGCAGAGCGTCCCGGGGGAGCGCTGGTGCTCCGGGCCCGCTTCGCTTGCGCGCCTCTGCCCCGCGCCAGGCGACCCAGAGGATCGCCCTTCCCTTCTCCCTTCTCCCTTCTCCCTTCTTCCTTCTCTTCCCCTTCCCTTCCCTTCCCTTCCTCTCCTCTCACCTCCTC